CGCGTGGTGTGGTGGTGAACGCGCTACTCCCCGGAAAGTACAATAGCGCGTTCGTTCCCCACCGCATACACCTACGGTCCGGAGTTTTGCAAATATCTCAGCATCATTGAAGTTATCTAATTTTATTACAGAAGAGGCAAGTGTTTTCAAACCGAAAAGAAATTTTGCATTTCGTTCCGGAAACACAGCTAAGAGTAAACTAATGCCATGAATCTCTAATGCGACTAAGAATCCTAACAACAATACGGTAAACTCCCTTAGTGCACAAGGCTCACGTATGTCTGTGGTGACGACCCGTGAACACGCACTCTCATAAGGGATTTTCGAAATTCCTGGAAAACGTCCATGTCAACAATATATTAAACATGTTGAGGACCATACGATTTTTTGAAGGTTTAGCCCGATATTAGATAATAAGAAATTCTTGAAGTGAAATAGGCAGTGTTGCTGTCCAACCTCCCTAAATTATTTTTTGAATGTTTTGGTGTTCTGATATATTTCTGGACAACGTTTTAAGGACTCCGTTCTTATCCACGGGGCGATTTTATAACTGATTCATGCAGTGCATGAAAAGTGACTTCAATACACTGTTGGTCACTGGGTCACAGAGAAAAAGACAGAACGTCGAAAATTGCACTCGCATATTTACCACGTGAACTAATGATGGAGAAACAAGCAGAAATCTTAGCAGTGACACAACAACTCGATAAATTGTCAAAAAAAACCACTTCGCATCCCTCGTGCACGACTTAACACTTCGTGATCTTAAAATCCTCTGAAATTCCATCACGACGAAGTTTGAAGATGACATTTAGCAGATCGGACTCAGGTTGCTTTGTCTTGGATGTAGGAATCATTTCTTCCTAAAGATCAAGACATTATAACAGACAATGGTGGAATGTTTGCCGGTAAATAAAGAGACTCACCGCGTCTACTTCAAACGTAACCTCCGACAGTTCATCGCTGAACGTTACTCCTTGCTGATTTCTGGCTTCATGTTGCAGAATTACGTACTATAAATTAATACTCACAAAACTCAAAAGGCACACACACAGTGCAGAACTACTCCATGTCACATTTGAAGAGATATTTAGTAAATGATTCTTAGGAAAATCATCAAAAAGGTGTTATTATTCTTTATTCACGAATAAGTTGACGTTTCGGCGGATTTCGCCTTCCTCAGAGCCGCTTTCCATGAGGTTCGCATGGTGGTAAACCTTTTTCTGATCCACAAGGGCTGCGACTGCCTGCGACGACCTGGGGCAGACTTTGGCCAGGCTGACCTCAGGATTCCAGGGAACCACAATGGCTTAACCAGCAAGTCTCCGAAAAATAGAGATTATGCTGGGGCCCGCACAACTAGTGAGGACGGGTCGATCAAGTATCAAGTAAGTAAGCAAAAAAAATGCACCACTACTTTCCTAGTAGGAAGTCCTTTACCACTGGGCAAGATTCTAGCCTAAGAAAATAGTTAAGTATAACGGAAGCATTGATTTCCTTTTTTTGAAAGAATCGATGAAAACAGATACTTCAAAAAGCAGCATTTCAGTCTTAATATATCACAGGAGATGATCACAGTAACAACGCTAGTGATGCACAGGAAAGGCAAAGCTCTCGGTGTTGATCAATCCTTGAGGGGTGCGCTATGCATTTGACCTTACTGAATATCGTTAGACGTGATTGAGCGTGTATCCGGCCAATACAATGACTAGTGGCGGCCAACCGATGTATGAAGTCACTGGTGCCATCTTTCAGATAAGTCTGTCGCAAATTTGTCGTCTCCCGAGGCAATGAAGTCGTAGTGACCCCGGAGAGCGGGATCTAGCCAACGACCGCGTTTGTATTGTATCACACCTCTAAGCACTGCACTAGTGCAAGCACTAATACACGTCCTCTAATGGTGGACAGTCTTCTAAACGTTAGGAAGTGGAGGACTTTACCTCGACAAGCTTTGCTATCCGCCTTGTGTGAAATATCGAAGCTTAAACGCATCCAACAAATATTTTTTCTGCGTTAGCTATTCGTTTTCTACCATCAGTTTTTGCGTAACATCACTGTACAAGAAGCAGGCGTTGCAGAAATGTTCAGCCGCCGATATTTTCACAGTGAACCACTTTTTTAGCGAATTTATAATAGGTTCTTCCTAACGATCTACCACCTCACCGTAGCTTAGAGGTGTTTCTGGATGTCGGGCTGCGATGTAGAGCGTAGGAGGAGAGATTCATTTCTCCAGCAGGGTGTCCCACGCTGAGGTGTCCAGCGTTTCTGAGCCCAGATAAGAGTAAACTAATACCACGATCCAACACAGTCCTGGTAACAAGCTAGTCGTATGGTGGTAAATCTTCAAATCTCCCTTTGATCCCCGACGGCGGCGATTTGCCTGCGGTGGTGACAACCTGGAGCAGAGTTTGGCCAGGCTGGTCTCGGGACTACAGGGAACAATTGTGGCTAAATCAGCAAAACTCCGAGAAAATCGGAATTACGCTGGTGCCCGAACAACCAGTGAAGACGAGCCATCCACGTAACCCAGTAAAGCAAATATATTACAGGTTGGCTACATATTTGTCTTTTCCTACTGTGAGGTGCTGTTTGGTAATCGTGAATGCCAAAATAACGCGAAGAATGTTACAACCTGAGACAACGGCATGTTTGTCCATATGTCCATATGTGTTCGCGATAAACGTTTATTTCAACTCATTCGTGACGTGAATGAGATCTCACTATACGAACTTTCTGGTCATACGTGACCAAAAATATTCATGGTTTCTAACTCAGGTGAAACTTATATTAGCTTAGAGTTAATATTATAAATAGAAATAAAAAATACAGAATTTTGAGCTTGTTGTTATCGAGGTCTCCGATTCCGCAACGACGAAAGCCTGTATTCTTAGACCTAATAAAACCTAGTTCGACGCTTGTTGATCGTCGAGACTCGTGCTTCGAACAACAGAGCAATTGGGCAGGGGGGTTTTCTTTCGGGAGAACAAGACGATTTCTTTCAATGCACTAGCGAAGTTTGGTGATGTATGCCTACCGTAAAGATCTCTTAAAACCGAATTTGGCCTTAAACTTATAAAACAATGAGGCAAACGTAATTAAGATAACATTATAGAAAAATTCTATACGCTCAATAAGCGATGTGCTAAAGTCTTTGTTATAAGAATATCAAGGTGCTAGCGATTTAGGCAATTCAATCATGGAAAAATAAGTTAAAGCCGAAGACTGTAAGGCTTGGTCCTCTAGGCCACCAACGACTACTTGAGGTAAGGGCTAAATAGCGCCAAACAGTGCACATGTCTAGCGCAGACCCGAATAAGTGAGTTGAGAAACAACCAAAATTAAGAAGTTTAATAAAAATAAGGTCTAATAGGATTTAACTGCAACGGAAAATATTAGAGAGGAATTATTTGAAGAAAAATTACCGTTACGCGTTCACCATTCGATCGTGGTTCATCGCAGTAGGAAATGTGCATAGTACGCCAGCGGTCCATTGTGGAACGGCAGTAAAAAAAAGCTATGAAGCGCATTCCTAGTTCCTGCCCGTATTTTTCAACTTTGCAAAAGTTAGCGACAAGAGACGTCTTCATGCGGCAGTTCTAAAGCAGTGTTTAAAAGAAAGTAGTGTGCAGTTCGTAACTCAATGGGGCAGTTCATTTCCCACCCTTTTAGATCCTTTGAACCTAATTTCACCCATAATGGGAGAATTTTCAATACGAAGACCGGGTACTGAGTTTTGCGCATTTGCGAGGGACCTAAACAAAATGAGAGTCAAAGGTGAAAGAAGGGTGTACCAAGTGCATTACCTTAACAGTGTTTTCAAATTCTTCACGGCATTTTTGCATTTTACACGAAAAGCCGTCCTCTGTAGAGGAATGCTTCCAGTCGTGTCAAACCCTTTCTAAAATCCTTTGTATTAAGAACCGCGGAAAACAGAAAAGTGTACGCAAAGAAATGTCAGTCCAAACTCCTCCAAACATCTTATTCTGAAGAACCTTGTGGTGCCGCTACGCTTGGAACGCCATTTTCAGTAGATACATGTGTGCATATGTTTTAAAAACACTGCAGAAAATAAATAAAATTAAAGACGATAACTCTATCAAAAACGCTATATCGTTAGCGTCGAAATCACTTGTCGTCATCTCCAAAGATACCGGACGAGTGTTGACATTCGTAAGTGAGCGAGCTGCAAGTCGCACTTGAAAATCTAAAAGAAAATAATTTATTGCGCTTTTCAAACGAAAATGAACAATGGGGATAGAAACAAAACTACGTCACCTCTTGACGTATCGTCTATCGGCCATTCGGGAAAAAGGGAAGGCATGCTTTCTGGATAGTTTTCGTAGCCCTTGAGCAACTTCTTGGCTTTCCTACACTCTTCTGATCCTCTTTCCTTCCAAATACAAACAATTTAAACCAATGTTTATTATAAAATAATTTTGGGTTGAAAAGAAAAGGCACTATGCGGTCCAAGTATCATGCAGTAACCAGGCTCATCTAAAACATTCATCTCCTAATATTTCCGAACAATATGTATGTATGCGTAGGTGTGTATATACTATAGTTCGGCAATAAATACATACATACAGATATATACATATGTACATATGCATATGAGTACATGAGGTGGATAAAACACACACCCGTTCCTCTACAGATGAGGATAGAACGTAACTTCCTACACCACCATGTACAGCACCCTTAACGCCTCCGAACGCTCGTGCGACTTTGATCGAACCGCTAGAATCCGCCTAGAACAATTATGTATATACATATATATATATATATATATATATATACGTATGTGTACATATTATAGTTAGACAATACATAAATATATGTATATGTATGCATGTGGATACATCTGATAGATGACAACCTATTCACTTCCACATGAGGATGGGACATGATTTCCTACCTCATAGTCTACATTTAACTTAACGTCTTCCAACCCTTGCAGAATTTCCATCGAGTTGCTAAGATTTGCCTGGAACACTTAGATTTATATATATATGTACATGTGTATATATTATAGTTGAACAATATAAATATATGTATATATATGTACATATTCATGAATATCCACGGATCTTCCTCATATGAGGGATCTCTAGCCGGTTAGTAGCGAGGCTACGTGGCGCAACTCCAGGTGGTGGATAGGGATTTAGTCGCTGAACAAAAGCGATCTTTGTTTCTCTGAGACGCAGGCGGATCCAGGAAATGGATTCACTGTTTCTGCTGTGCCGATTTGGCGCATACTTTCTGTATTTACGGAGACGTATTCATGCATCCGTAGCCGAGTGTGTTCTCATTTATACAGATTGCATTCTACAAATTAAGAGGCCAAAGGATTGCATATCAAAAAGCCAAACAGTAAAATAAACGAGCCTCATTCCCCTGGCACGAAAGAGTTTCCGATTCGGCAGCCTTAAGCAGGAAAAGTACGAAGACGCTGCTAAAATCTTAGGACCATTCCAAACTACCATAATCGCAAAGCGTTAAGGTAACGATGTCTATGTACAATGCACGCACATTTGCATCTGGATTCTTGATCGTCATGACCATGCAAGCAAGAAGGTTAAGGTACGACGTCATCAGACTGGTCAGGACGAAATGACACCATCCGCTCAAAGCCGCATATGACACCGAAGAGGAACTGTTCCTCGAAAAATGCGACAATAGAATGAGTTTCGTCATGAGTATCCACTTATCCGATCAACTAACAAATCGAATCGGACGCTTACGATTGAAGAGACGTCAATTAATACCAACTTTGATAACCTTCGTTATTTACGCGCCGACATTAACTATGAAGAAGGAAAAGTCGAAGAGTTCTATATGGACTAGGAGAAGTGCTGCAGAAAGAACTATACGTTCTTCAATGTCATCATTGGAGATTTTAATGCTAGGACTGGACCAAGACGAACATCGCATTGGGACCCATGAAATAGAACGGAACGAACAGGGTGAGTGGCTGTCCTTGTTTATCAACGACCAAAACCACTCGTGGTAACTCGCAATTCCTGAAGCCCCACCTTCAACGCTGCAAATGGGAGCTTCCCAGAGGAGACACCATATCGAAATAGACCACATCATAAGAAACCGAAGGTTTTGCCTAACCGACGTCGCTTTCGCCCAAAATTCTACACGGGACCAGACTACTGCCTCCTTCTTCAAGATTTGCCTTTTCGCAGAAAAGAGAAAAAGGAGTTGAATTCAAAAAAAGAACACCTAGAACTATCACAAACTAGGATTTATGCAATAAATTAGTCGGCTGCTGAAAAGATTCCATTCTGCATAACATCGACGAGGAATATGATCGACTTCTTCAACATCTTCACTTTAGCGCCATGAAAGGTGAGAATTTGAAAGACACGAAAAGACGTCTATTTCTAGAAACACCCGAGCTGACGCGCGAACGTGGACCCGCACGAGCTGCAGGCAACCGCCAACTAGCGTCCCAATTTGCAAAACAATGTAGACAGCCGATAAAAGAAGGTCTTAAAGAAAGAAGAGCAGCAGTTATTGTCGAAGCCCCAGATGCCGGAAAAAGGATTCGCAAAGCTCGCCGAAGCTTCGCCAATTACAAAACCAAGACAATTTCACTCCAACGCCCAGACGTTACAGTGACAACATCCAGAAAGGTAGTAGAGAAAATCACAATTACCACTTAGATCTCTCTCACAGCCGTGTCCTCCTTTCCGCATATGAAATAAAGGAGAATGGATATGCCGTACCATCGGTTCTCGTTTCCAAAACCTGACATGCTACTTCACCGGCGAAAAATTGAACAGCTCCTGGTTCGGAGAATATAAGATCTGAACACGTGAAGAACCTTCTGCAAGTTCTCACTCTGGCTTCTCCATTCACACATTACCTGTCCTGAATGCAAGGTCCATAGTCAATGAAAATTATCTTCCAATTTGCTTGCTGCCTGACGTCTTAAAGCTTTCCCTCAAGTCACCCTAAACAGGTTTGACAGAACACTGGACGAAGGACTGCCATGTGAGTAAGAAGGGTTTCGAAAACGATTCAGTACGATGAACCATATCCATAGGATAACAAGACTCATCGAATTACCGCGAGAATACAAGAGTCTGCTCTGTCTCACTTTCGCCGATTTAAAGGCTTTTAACTCAGTTGACAAAGAAGTATTCATGGAAGCCCTGGACAGTCAGGGAGTCCACACTCAGTATATAAACATTCGTCGAAAGCAGTATAAAAAATTGACAACCGAGACACCACCATTCTACAACGTTATTAACGTCGACATCAGAAGAGGTGAGGGTTAGGCGATACCACCTCGCCAAAATTATTTACCGCTACCCTCGATGCGAATACTGGAATAAGACAACATGGGATTGAAGATCGATGGTCGACAATTACACCATTCTCGCCTTGCTGACGACATCACTCTTATAACCAACAAACATTGGTCAAGTGGAACGAATGATTTACAGTTTTGATAAAGCCTGTGGAAAGATGGGTCTTCGAATAAGTCTCACAAAAACGACGTTCATGAGGAATCGATTGGTTATGCATGCCTCATTCACGCTCAGTGGAATAAATGTCCTGGAATGCATAAGCTACGTCAATCTTGGTTGTGAAATCAGCATGATGAACGACTTAGCTCCAGTGTTGAGCCGAGCGAAACTACTGGTTTAGGAATCTTTCAAAAGTATCAAGGATGTAGTGAACAGAACAAAGAACACCCGTCTCCGTGCCCACCTTTTCAGTCCACGACTGTTCTTGCCTCAACTTACGCGTCAGAAACCTGGTCGTTGCGTAAGCAGGATGAAATATCACTCAGCGTTATTGAACGTGTAGTCGAAAGGACGCTGCTAGGAGTATTCCGTGTCACACTTGTGAGTGTGGGGATTCGAAGCTCCGACCTGCGTCAGCGATTAAAAATCAAAGGTGCCCTTCTATACGTCAAACTGTCGAAGATAAGGTGAGCCGGACACGTAACGCGTGTGAATGACAGCTACTGAATGAGAGCCACTGGTGACTCGATTCCTTGTGGTGTCAAACGCAGTGGAGGAAGACCACCGACCCGATGGTCAGAGTTCTTCACGAAAAGCCTAAAGAAAGGTATGATGTTCAAAAAGTCCTTAGAATGAGGAGAGCCTATTGGGCTACCTTTGCACGCGACAGGGAAAAATGGAAGAATTAATGGTGCCCACTCGAGTCACTCGACGATCAGTGGGACGGCAGTTGATAAACGTGGCATGAATATGGGTACATATCATATATAAAAGCACATACTTGTTGCTCTCCACATGACAGTAGGTCACAATTTCTTATTAAGTCATCTCCAGTTTCCTTGTCGTCCTCGAACCCTCGCGGGATTTCCATCGAATTGTAGAATGATGTCTGAAACACTTATTTGTATAGATACGCATACATTGCAGATGGACAGTACATATATGCTTATATATGTATATATATATATATATATATATATGCAAGTACATGGGTGCACATGATAGATAAAAGGACAGACGTGTTTTCCTCCATATGAGGATTTTCCTATTAAGTCATCTACAATTACCTTTTCTTCTTCGAAACTTCGTGGGACTTCGACCGAATCGTTAGAATCCGCCTAGAACACTTACCAATGTAGAAGAAATAATGAAGAAATGTAGAGATGAAACTATTATCTATGAGTGCGAGTAAACGAGATCACCATTAGCTCTTCGATGTCGCCTCGAATAGGCGAGTCTAAATCAATCGACAAAGCAAGGTTCTCCACCATCTGAAGAGTCCAAATTTGATAGAATACGCAGTTCTCTAACAAACCTTAACAAACGAGAAATTCCAGTGTTAACATATCAGAGGGTTTAGAATTACCACGCTAATCTACTACATTGTTAAGTAATAACCTGTGAATAGTCGCAGTTCCTGGTTATCTCGAGGCAAAAAACCCTTTGTTTTACTTCGTTTGTTTCTCCATGTAGACTAATCTATCAGTACTTCTTTAAAATGACTATTAAGAGGTTACTAATAAAATTTAGTCGGCTTCGAGTGGGAGACCTCGACTCGGCCGATATTAAGTTGCTCGGAAATAAATGAGCGCTTGTAACCATTTTCTTTCAGTTTTCTATTTTATTTAATTTTACCCGTCTTCACGCCTACTGTGTGATTCCCAACAGTTCTCATTTCCCGCATCTACTCTCTTCGGAGGCTCCAGCCTTCCAACTTTTACCTGTGGCTTCGGTTGCTGATTGAGGAATCTCATTTCATCTTGAATGTCGTAGATTGCTGTTCGAGCAATTCTCCCTGGAGTCCTGAGATAGCTAGGCTGGAGCCTTCCCAAGTGGATTATAGGGAGTGGTTTTTTCCCAGACAAGTCCAGTACCAATTTCGCAACTGCGGAGTGGATGAGAAACTTGGTTGAGGATAAGTGCAATCGAACTAGCACTATGCTTGTCATGACGGACACCACTGCTAATTTGCTATCCGCCCCTGTTTATGCTATCCAAAATGTCATAACTTGTTTGGAAAAAAACTTTATCAGTCATAATAAGAACCGTCTGAGTCTACAAATTTTTGTCAACAGGAAACAAGTTCACCTTTTTCAGTTGCATTAAATTCTAGAGCTCTGGAAGCAATGAATTCGTTGAAGGCATTTCTTTTGCGTCATCGTGGTTGGCGAAGCATTTCTCGGGTAGGAAGATGTAAAGGTGCATGAACAAGTGATGGTCGGTAGACGAGAGTTTTGATGAACATGGCAGATAAGGCTAAATTTCGTAGCCTAACTCGTCCAACTTCTACAGCGCTGGTCCAGCAACGTGAGGGCAGCCATTATCGTGGAAAAGAATTGGTCCTTTTCTGTGGACTAATTAATGCCTGCCGTCATTGTTGTAGGAGCTTGCGGGGCATTTCGTCAACTTGTTGGAATTGCTTCTCTGCCGTAATCGTTTCGCTCGGATTTTCCCGAAGTCAGACTGGTAGAATACAGACACTATGGATGAGATTACACCCACGAACGTATGCACGAGCACTTCAAGTGCAAATATTTAGGTGCTAAATCGGCGAACGGAAGCAAGAAATCCACAGCGTAGATTCCCCTACGCCTTGCGGAAGTACGAGGTCGCTTTTGCCTGTGTTTAACCCTCTATCCGTCACTGTGATACCTCAGTGAGGGAGATACATGGATGAGAAGGAATGAGTATTTCGAAAACCTGTCCTATTTTAAACGTTAAATAAAAAAACTTAACTTCAATGATGCTGAGATATTTGCAAAACTCCGGACTGCAGCTGTATGCAGTGGGGAACGAACGCGCTATTGTCCTTTCCGGGAAGTAGCGCGCTCACCATCACACCATGCAGGTCCTTCGTTTCGCCTGTCTCTCAGCTAGTTCTACCGATCTAGCTGAGAGACAAGCGATATAGATTGCTGATGGCAAAAGATCGATAGAACTAGCTGAGAAGCAAGCGAAACGAAGGACCCGCGTGGTGTGGTGGTGATCACGCTACTCCCCGAAAAGGACAATAGTGCGTTCGTTCCCCACCGCAGACACCTACGGTCTGGAGTTTTGCCAATATCTCAGCATCATTGAAGTTATATTTTGCAATGTATACCCCGCCGTTAAAAAGAGTAGGCAGTAAATAACAAGTTAAAGAAAACTTAGTAAGATAATACAATATGCCAGCGTTTCGTACCGTAGGAAGCACAGTAGGACTTGCACCATTATCAAACGGGAATTCATCGGCTGTGATTGTATTCATAAAACGATATGCTTGTTCTTCTATCTCATGATCATTCATGAGTGCTGAAACAAACATTTCATTCAGTGACGTCGGAACAGTAGAGGAAATCGTTTTGTATGAAATCTTAAGAAAGTTGTTCGTCTTCAGAGTCAGGGTAGATGTATTTGCACAATGTGCACACTTGGCAGCATCACTTTGCCTGCTATGCAACAACACAATAAATATAGAAGCTAAAGGCTGCCTGCGTTGATCAATCGATGAGGGGTGCACCATGCATTCGGCTTCACTAAACATCGTTGGAGGTGATTGAATGCATATCCGGCCATCACAATGACTACCGGTAGCCTACCGATGTGTCGAATCAGTGCTGCTGTCTTCTCAGGAAAGTCTGGCACCAATTTATCGATCCTGAAGGGATGGAAGGCTTGGTAAGCCATGGCCAGAGGAATCGATCCCATGCGTACTGCTGGGCGCATCCGACCATTGCGCCACACGCTACCCTTACAATACACGTATATATGTGTGTATATATGCATACATATATTGTTATCAATGAGTGTATGTGTATATAACATGTGAGCACAAAAATATAGGCGAAAAATAAATGTTCACATGAAATTATTACATCAAATTAAGTCCTATTAAATATAAATGCTATCGTGCCCAAAGTTTCGCCGCCTTATTTTGCATGAAGAAGTTTCTGGATGACAAATTGTAATGTATATTTAATTTAACACCTGCAACTTCGTCCTGCTATTTTTTAAAAAACAACCAAGATTGGGTTAAATTACCTGTTACGATGCCACTATCAATTTCCGATTCGGGAATTTCGGGTAGGTGGTCAAACACATCAAAATCGGACGACTGCATATTGGATCTTCTAGAAATTCAATCTTAGACGGTGGGTGGGAGATCACAAGTAATGGGAGTGAATGGCAAGGAAATGCGAATAAAGTCGACGCTTTTATGTGAAATACTAAGCTCTATAGAACACAAATCAATACATATTGTATAAAAGCAAGTCAGAGCACGAAATTGAGCTTGTGGATTGCTTACGCTGATTATCGATGTTCTTGCTCTTCCAGTAGCGTCTTACGAGATTATCGCTAAGTATTGGCTTGTGATATTGGGTTGCAACCTTTCTAGGCCAATGTTCAGTCAAGAATGAAGGCCAGTCGATATCAAACGCAAGTGCATATAAATAGTGAAAACAGTAATGAAATCAGTACAGCAGGATGGTATAAATAGAAAGAAGGTAGGTAAGTGAGATTGGTAACCTGCTTCAACAGTTTGGAAAAATAATGTGAAGAACAAGTGAGATAAGTGAGTGGAGCTAAGAGTTGAGGTCACGCATTCGAGTCGAAGAAACGAGAGGAAATGGCTCTTCATCCAAGAAGCGCGCCTTATATACCTCCACGTTTGAACAACAAGTCATAACATGTTCCGAACCTAAGCTAACAAGAGATCGCAACGGTACACTTTCTACGCGAAATGCAGAATACTTTGAATAAACAGAAAATATCTGTATATATGTTCCTACGAAGTGCCCTGCCCTCTTTTAGTGGACACGAGGTTGGTATAGATATTTTTGTTGTTGTTGCTATCTTTGTTCGATGGCTGATATTTCGATGACTTCGCCCTCCTCAGGGTCCGGATGTATCATAAGCAACAACAGCCCTACGATTCGGTGGATTGCATAGTATTAATGATGATCCAGCATATAAAAAGACGCCCATTCGCAAAAACCACCCACCTCGCTCTAGGATCAAACGTGTGTTGCCCCGACGAATGATGAATGAGACCCACCTATGAGGACGTACATTGAAAAATCATTCCGAGATAAGGTGTGACAGTGATACATCGTTTTTCTGACCTATCCTTGAGCCTTTTAAACCTATTCAAAACGCCTCAAGAATCTTGAAAGTTAATGCTCTACATTCTTGCGTCAGAATCCGAACATTCGCTTCAAAATAATTTGTCGAATTCTCGCTTTTCCATCTAGATGTTTTCTTATTCAGACACAAAGTAGTCCACTGGCTTCCCTTATGTATCCCTTACCTCATGCCTTACACGAGATCAAGTAAATTGTGGCCAAACTCACACAATCCTCCTCGCCAGGCCAGATTACGCAATCTTCCGAGCTGCACAGACGACCACACAGGCGGTTGCGAGCCAGCTAAATGCGAACGGAATTCTATCGAAAACCAAGTCGTAGTAAAATTATATTAGTACATTGCCCTCTCTCATCCTTCACACATGAAAAAGCGAATGCTGGCACAAAATGGGTGCGATTGTACATTGCATACTTTCATGACGGTTTTCACATTATTTAACAGCATTGGCTCAGGTCTTTGAATTACCAATGACATTTGTTTTGAAAACGGAATGGTTAGTCTTCCACGATTTGCTCCTATTATTTGGGATAGTTCTTGAACCTACTTCACTTTCCTTTTTTGCACTTGTGTTTCATTTCATAGCTAGAGAAACTGTTTTCTAATGATTTTCATGGCAGGTTACTAAGCGAAATACAACCACAACGTTGCTGAGATATTTGCAAAACTCTGGAAAAACAAAACGTTAAACATTGTGATTTCAACTACAGCCATAGCTTAACTGGGTTCTATGCCGATTTGCGCTCCCCAGATCAACCCCGCTGACGGGTGATTGCTGTGGCAAAAAGATCGATAGAAATAGCTGAGAGACGTGCGAAACAAAGGACCCGCATGGTGTGGTGGTGAACGCGTTACTCCCCGGAAAGGATAATAGCGCGTTCGTTCCCCACCATAGAAACCTGCGGTCCAGAGTTTTGCAAATATCTCAGCAACGTTGTGGTTGTGTTTTCTAATGAGTTTTGCCTTATGTTTATTGTAAAAGTACCTTACTTGCATGAATTTAGGTTAGGTTTGATCATCAATTGATGAACTATTTTCTTTCCTTTTAACACTTCGTTCTCATTTCCGAAATCAGAGTCTGTTACTACTCCGCTTCTAGAACGTTTTTGCTTACATAACACATTTGAAAGAGACACATCCCATTGCTTGGCAACAAGGGGAACTAGTCCGTAGTCGCTAGCAGTTACCAGACGCTATGGAATGTGAACGTGATGAGCTACATAATGCAAGCACCTTGCATCGACCGACAATGTGGTTCATAATTGTTGTGTCATGTTTCTCGTCTGTTTTTTTAAGCCAATTTCACTAGTCTGGTGTGTGTGTTTGTCTGCTACTAGGCAACCCCTCAAAGGTGAAGGCGCTATAGAGGCAACGAAGTGAAGCAAATAGACCATCCAAGTGAGAGAAACACTAATCATAAAGAGATACCATCACCAACAACGTCATGAGAATACAACACTCCTGCCGTTGATGGAAGTGATCTCGAACTTTACATTTATGCACTAACGCACAATCATGCCGCAAAAAGGGAGGTGTCATCGAAATTTACGAAAGTCTACTGCTACCACTCATGGTTCTTGTCGGTTAATTTCCGGTAGAAAGCTTAGTTTACACATGTTTGATTTACGGTGGTATTAATAAACACTTGCAAATTGGTAATGCCACCATTAGATTCCATCTTTATCAGACCGCCTTGTCATAGTAAACCTAAGAATGAGTAAACCACCTCGTGCACTGCCGTATCTCAGACTATCCACATCCGCTCAAACATGTGTACCATGGCGACCATGAAGCGGTTAGTCATGAACATCATGAGAATCCTTTAAAAAACGGCTCTGATCAGTGGACTGCTTGATGGACAGGAATACCTTTCGAACGCGGTAACTTTTCGAAGACCAGTATGAAAATAAAATCCTTATCTTAATCGTTTTATTTACTGCCTACTCTTTTTAATGGCAAGATATATTGCGAAATATAACTTCAATGAAGTTGAGATATTGGCAAAAGTCCGGACCGCAGGTGCATGCGGTGGGGAACGAACGCGCTATTGTCCTTTCCGAGGAGTAACGCGTTCACCACACCATGAGGGTCTTTCTTTTCACCTGTCTCTCAGCTAGTTCTATCGATCTTTTACCGTCAGCAATCACCTGTCAGCCGGATTGATCTGGGAAGACCAAATCGGCAATAAACCCAGTTAAGCTGAGGCTTGAGTTCTTACTCCGATAATCTCCTTAGTTAAAGTCTGGAAGTCGGAATTCAGAGTTCTGGAATAGGTTGTTTCTTTACTCACAATTTGGCCTGTTGGACTTCCGAAAAAGGTAAGCAGTGACATATGTGGACTATTCTGAAATGGTTTTACCATATAACTCCATTATTTGTATAAAACGTGGGGCCCCTCGTTGGATGGATTAGTCCAGCTATGACTAGAGAAATGCAGTCCTTGCTAATGGGTTTAAACACATTTCCTTTTTCTTTCCACTTCTGTTCAGCAAGCAATCAATGCCGAGGTTAATAGAAATCAATATCAATCAATCAATCAATATTCAATCAATGCCGAGGTTAATAGAAAGTCGGACTTGGGACTTACATTTCCTTTTCTTCATTGATGCTGTTATTGAAGTGTTGAATGAACCGTTTTCTCCATTCACGGCCTTGTTAGGACCTTTGTGAAACACCTTGGAACACCACAATTCCGTCTTCACTATGAGTGAGGATAAAAAAAATGCAATGTTTGTTTGTTCAACAGAAGTGTGCACCATTGAGGTTGAAAGCGGAACAGAGAAGATCCACGCAATAGAGGCACCCGATGTTGTAGAGAACTGGGTCTCTGGATTGCAAAACTGCAATCGTCATCACTCGTAGGTTTTACTCTATGCTACGGAAAAGTAGCATTTTTTTACGTTAAACAGAACGTACGAAAGCATGGTCGTTATTGACAGACAGAGGCACATAAAGCAATGGCGGTATGCTTGCAGGACATAGTTGTAACATGATACATGTAACAAGTTAGAAATATGACGACCCACATTTCCTGTGTGCCTTTAACAGGCCATCTTTTCCGGTCTCTGTGACAGCGTCATTGCGTAAGTCAGAGTTCCGACACAAGAGCGGGGAAACAGCTTGTCGATGGAAGTTATGTACTTTCCAGATTGCAGCACCAGCACTTTTCTATGCTCTCTTTGTCGGCTTGCTAGATCCTGGAAGATGAATGGTGGGTGTTCACAGTGTTACAATGAAGTGATAGTGAATTTTGATTCATGGTTTACGTCGTCCCTTGAAACCCATTATATTCAGGCTAAAATAACTTCTTTGAGATATAGAGCATGGTCAACGAGGGAATCGGTCAGAGTAGATGGAGCATTTTCGTTTTCAAGTGGCGTAATTTGCAACCAAGAATAGTTTTTTGCAACATGATCATAATTAGGATTTGTTTTAACTATTGACCAAAAGAGTAGAATGAAAGAAATTTTCAAAGTAAAAGCTTTTAGACTGTGGCAGTGCCGGCGCAGGTGGTATAATCACATTATACTGGACCTTTGTTCTTGGTTAAACTCGATCTCCGGCGGACTCATTGTTACCAGCCTCTTTAAAGTGCTTTTCTAGCACAAATCATTAAAAATGTCCGAACAAGCTGTACGCAGACAATAAATACCGACATACTCATTTCGGGCCCAGAATACAAGTTTGATTAAGGAAAATGATTGGATAAGGTCATTAAGAGAAAAAAATCAACAACACAAGAAAGGTTACAAAACTTCTTCAAATTATTTATATTATTTATTTATCATTTATTTATACCAACCGTCTTCATGTCTACTGTGGACACCAGCATTTCCCACATTTGATTCGTTTACTCACATCCATTGTCCGCGAGGATCTTCCAACTTTTACGTTTGCCTTCGGTTGCTGCGTGAGGATTTTCATTTCATCTTGAATGTCGTGGAATGCTGGCCGAGCGGTTCTGCATGGTATCCTAAG